TCCTGCTTTGGTCTAAGAAGGGTGATGACCTTAAAACTTTCCCTTAACCAATCCCATGCCCGGGTAAAGGGGCATGGTTGTGTTAGGTAGGCAGCCAACGTAAAATTTTGCCAAAACCCATCGTTAGCCGACCTCAATTAATTGGAAAAAGGCTAAAATGATGATGATGATGATGATATATGTCCTGCCTACGCGAATAGTACATAATAATTTTCATTGTGGACTGAAAACTGTAGTTATTTCAGAATCAATAGATGTTTAAGATGTGATATTTGTTTGGTGACAACCTCTTATTGTTTTGGTGTATTTCTGCAGGGGTTCAGGCTGCATATTGGGGAATGCTCGAAGAAGGAAGGATAACTCAAACTTCCGCTATTCTTTTGATGCAGTCAGTTGATGAAGCAATTGATCGGGTACATGAGCAACCATTGTGTGACTGGAAAGGCTTGAAAACAAATGTTCATTTTCCAAACTACTACCGGTATCTCCAAATGAGTCATTTGCCACAAAAGCTGGTCATATATTTCACCGTGGAAAGGTTAGAGTCCGCTTGTTGCATTTGTGCTGCATTTCTACGTGCTCACAGAATTGCAAGGAGACAACTTCATGAATTCATTGGTACAAAGTTCTTCTTGTTGATCATTTTTCTTTTTTCTTTGTATCATATGAATGGTATTGATGAATACAGAAGTAAATCAATCTGGACATAAAATTAGACCAATGGACCTTCCCATTTACAATTAAAGAAAAACTTCAAAGCAATATCAATAATTTATGTTTCTTTTCCCACGAGTGAGGTAATTCATTTTTGTGAAAGAAATAACCAAACATATGCTGCAATAATTTTGTGTAGCTAAGAGAATTACAAGTTCTTTTTGTTAGGCTTCTTATTTTTGTTTCATGATATCTTCCATTGGACTTTCCTATGTCGATGTTGCAACCAGCCTAGATGTTTCTAAGTGTCACTCGGGAATTTGAAATTTATTTTCACTTTCTGCAGGAGAAAGTGAGGTTGCTGCTGCTGTCATTCAGGAAAGTGATGCAGAGGGGGATGAAGCTAGAAATTTCCTAGAAGATGTTCGCCTTTCATTCCCTCAGGTACTAATTCTCTTGAAGGACATGTTTTAGGTATTTTAGGTATGGTGACTTATCTAAATTTTTAATCTCTCCTTTGTCCATTATGCATTATTTATATCCTTGATTATAGATTTTAGGGATGTGAAATATCTGATTGCGTTTCATAGTTGGATCCCAAAACAAATGAAGAAGACTGAGAGACTAGATAAATGAGCACTGCATCAAACTGATTATTAATCGAAACTGATTTAACTGTAACTGAATTTGATCTTGACTTTGTCCTTCCCGCATTATATCTAATATGCCCTTGATGTAATCCACTAGTGTTTGAAAGGCCAGATTGCACTGAATGGTTAAACCCTAAAAACTACCATATGAAAATGCCCCTTTTTTACTGCATCATCATTATTATCATCATCTAAGCCTTATCCCAATTTGGGGTCGGCTAAATGAATCATGTTCCTCCATTCTTCTCTATCAAGGGCCATACCCTCAGTAAGACCAAAAGTCACGTATCTTTTCTCACTGCTTCTATCTATATCCTTTTGGGCCTTCCTCTTGCCCTTTTGGAGCTTTCCACTTGAACCAAATTACACCTCCAAACCAGTGTTGTATTAGGTCTATGCTGCACATACCAGCCTACCTACGTCTACTTTTTCTCATCTTATCGCTTATTGAAGCCACATCTAAGTTCTCTCGTACGTATTCATACTGAATTCTATCTTTTCTTGTCTTGCAACTTATCCATCTCGATATTCTCATCTCAACTATGCTCATCCTATGGATATATTGTTTCTTGACTGCTCAACACTCTGTCCCATAAAGCATGGCTAGTTTTACAACTGTCCTATAGAACTTCTCTTTCAATCTCAATGGTATGCAGCAATCGCATAAAACACTGGATGCACATCTCCACGTTTCCTACGTAGCTCTAATTTTATGTGCGATATCTTCCTCAATCTTTCCATTCTCCTGTATTAAGGAAGCAATCTCATTTAGGTATTTCTTGGCCATCAATTTTAACTACCTCATCGTTTCTACCCTTATTATTACTAAACTTGCATTCCATATATTCTGTCGTAGTTTAGCTAATTTTAAAATCTTTAGAGTCTAGAGCATCCCTCCAATGTTCTAGCTTTGCGTTGACGTTGCCTCTAGTCTCATCAATCAAAACTATAGTTGTTGGAAACATTTGTGATTCCGAATCGTTTCTAGAATCGGAATCGTGTGTTTTAGAAGTTTCGAAATCTAGGAATCGCTGTCTGTATGATTCGGAATTGAGAACAATGATTCTCACTATTTGGGAATCGCGATTCAAAAAATTAGGAATCATGTTTTCTATTTGCAAGAATCGATGTCCCTTCATATTGGAATCGCATTTCAGACCTATATGGAATCACACGTGACCCCACTTGTTTCGGTGGTTGCTGGAGTCATGATTCCTAAAAATATGGAATCGTGATTCCTAAAATTCTAGAATCGTTGTTCCCATCAACTTGGAATCAACATTCTCACCATTCTGGAATCGTGATTCTCCCCATGTTGGAATCAAGATTCTCCCCTTACTAGAATTGCGACTCAATTCCCTCCGGTATATGAGAGAAGTATTCAGAAAATATATAAATTTACCCATTACTACAAGATCGAATTTTGGTCTGTATATACTCAGTCCAAGACTCCAAGTACTAACGTCAACTTTTATGATATCTTTGTGGACAATCCCATACAATGGACTCGGTCTACCGATAACCTTATTATGCCTACAAGGTTAGAAGCTAGTCTACGACATACAAGGAGTGAGAACAAGGGCAAGCTCCCTTTATCTCCTTTCCTTAAATTATAAAGTAAGTACATGACATAGTAATTCTTCTTTGTTAAATGTAGCTTTGAGTCTTTTGACTTTTGAAAATTGCGTTATTCAATTTTTTGTCAATTTCTCTGATATTTAATGATTAATTTAACCGAAAAGACCACATAGGGCACTTCACCCATATATCCTTATTATCTTCTTATTTTACTTAAAGAAAAGCATTTTTATCCTCTTATTCAATTTGAAGAAATGACGGTGCCAATCATATATTAAAAATTATTACACTAGTAGTTTAGTACCCACATCATTTGCCAAACATTATTAAATTTGAAGTAACGTATTTTTTTAGTATTATTTATTTTTGGTAAGAGTTCTTAGAAGGTAACATGGAATGAAGGATTGAAATTAGTAAATAAGAAAATAAAAAATTTAACATATTACTTATATTTAAAATTTTGATTTTATTGCCATGTGCAACAACTTCAAATTGTCTCACGCTCTTATACATGTTGCGCTCACTCATGATTGAGCACACATCAAAGGGTTTTTGCTCTCCCTATGCTCACATATTACTCATATTTTAAATTTTAATTTTATTGTCGTGTGCAACAACTTATAATTCTCTCATGCACTCATACATATCGCACTCACTCATGATTGAGCACACTCCCTATACTCACATTGCTTCCTGACAACATGGATTCACAATTCCTTAATACTTTGAATCAATGTTTAGCATAAGTAGAATCACATTGTTGTGTAGCAAGGAATCACGATGTTTGAAATATATAAACTTGATTCCAAACAACGTGGATTCGCAATTCCAAAAAATTTGGAAACAACATTTCTCATAAGCAGAATCTCATTCTTGTGTAGCTAAGAATCATAAAATCCTATATATGGAATCTTGATTCAGGCAATCAAGGAATCGAGATTCCTAAACTAGGTGGAATCGCGTTCCACAAAATATGGAAACATGATTCCTTTCTTTTAGAATCGATTTTTGCCCGGAGAAATGTCGAATCAAGATTCCGAAACGAAATCGCTACCCTCATAGGCGATTTGGGTAACTATAATCACAACTATGTCATTCGCGAGCAACATACACCACGGTACTTCATCTTGTAGGTGCTTGGTTAACTCATCCATAACCAAAACAAAGAGATATGGACTCAGCGCTAAACCCCTATGTAGGCCCATTGTTACTGAGAACTCCCTTGTCTCTCTACTAATTGTTCGCACACTAGGTAGTACTCCCTTGCACATATCTCTTACTATATCAATATAGCCTCTATTGACTCCTCTCTTTTCCATGACCTGCTAATTTAAATCTCTAGGCACTCGATCATGTGCTTTCTCTAAATCAATAAAGACCATGTGGAGGCCTTTTCCCTTCGCCCTAAACTTTTCAATTAGTTGCCTACGTAAGAAAATGGCTTCGATAATTATCTCCCTGACATAAAACTGAACTAATTTTTTATACACTCGTTTCATGCCTAATCGTTGCTCAACCACTCTCTCACACAGCTTCATAGCATGGCTCATAAGTTTAATCCCTTTATAGTTTGTATATTTTGTATGTCTCCTTTGTTCTTGTAAATAGGTACCACAATACTTTTCTCCATTTGTCTGGCATTTTCTTTGTTCTCAACGCCTTATTTGAACAGCTTGGTAAGCCAGCTTTTGCCAATCTCCCCCATGCACTTCAAACTTCCATCGGGATATCATCTAGTCTTAAAGTTTTTTATATCTTCGTCTTTTTTAGAGCTTTTTTTTACTTCAGATATCCTAATCCTATAAATTTAACTATAACCTCTGCTCTCATTTATGTCAAAGGTTCCACCTAATGTTGTGTTCCCATAGTATTTGTTATTTAACAATTTTTGAAAATAAATTCTCCAGCTTTCATTGACCTCATCATCTTTCACCAGGATCCTCTAATCCTCACTCGTAATGTATCTAATGTAATATGGATCCCTACACTTCATCTCTCATGTTTGCTAATTTGAAGACATCTTTTTCACCTGCTCTTGTCCCCAATCTATTATATAGATTATCATATGCCTTAAGTTTAGCTTGTCTTACTATTTTCTTAGTAATTTTTTATATTTATAAGTTTTGATCATTTCTACTACATTGGCTGGCGTAATAACATGTCATTTTCCTTTAATTGTCTTCTAAACCTCTTCACTCCACCACCAGGTTTCTTTGTCTAAATTTTTTTTCCCTTTAGTTTTTCCTAAAACTTCTTTTGACACTTTCTTAATACAGTCAACCATTGCATTCCACATAATATTGACTACGTTCTTTGAATTCTATTTTCCTTCTTTTATCAAAATAATTGGTTGCATGCTTCAATGGCCCCACTATCTTTAATCGCACTTGTCTGAGGGCAAGATATGGCAATGGATGCTTATGGAGTGAGGTATGCCACGCTCCATTTAATTGGTGAGCATGGTGGCCTGGTGAAAATGTCTTTCCCATTTTAACTTGCAGAATCACACTCATTTTCATGCTATAGTTTCTCCTGTCACATTTTACAATTTGAGTGTTATCAGAGACGTCAGCCATACCATTTGGAGCTTCTTACTAAACACATTAGTTAATGGAAGGCATGTCATAATTGATTCCAGGTTCTACGTGTGGTGAAGACACGACAGGTCACATACTCCATACTGTCACAACTGAGTGAGTACGTACAAAAGCTTGAAAAATCGGGATTATTGGAACTTAAGGAGATGAGTCAGCTCCACGATGCTGTGCAGGTAGCTGGAAATGTCCAAACCTTGCTTTTCAAGATTCCAGTGCCTAGTTCTTGATTGTTGTTTTATTTTTTGTCTCATTTATCTTTCATCCCCCCCCCCCATCGTATATGTCATGATTTGACTGCACTCTTATACTTCTCTCTTGTTTACTCAAGGGTATTTACAAAGATAAATAAGGAAATGTTGTTAAATCAAAGTTTGAAATTTGAAGTTCTTCAGTGTGACAAACTTTTTATATTATTCTTTTGCATTGTTGCTATGGCAGACTGATCTGAAAAAGCTTCTGAGAAATCCTCCTTTAGTAAAGATGCCTAAAATTAGTGATATACTAAGCATGCAACCTCTGCTTGGGGCACTTCCTTCTGATATACGCCAACTTCTCGAGAACTCCACGAAGGAGATGATGAAATTGCGTGGGGTCTCACTGTATAAGGAGGGAGCCAGGCCAAAAGGGATATGGCTTATTTCAAATGGAGTTGTAAAGGTAAGCTTGACAAATATACTGCCTGTTGGTATTCTACTCCGTTTTTAGAGCATCTTCAAGCTTTGTTCCTTTTTCCCTTTGCAGTGGACAAGTAAGGGTTTGATGAATAAGCATTCGCTGCATCCAACATTTACCCATGGGAGTACTTTGGGCCTTTATGAAACCCTAATTGGAAAGCCTTACCTCTGCAACTTGATCACCGAATCTGTTGTGCATTGCTTTTTCATTGAATCAGAAAAGTTACTTTCAGTACTCAGAATGGATCCTACAATTGAGGATTTCTTGTGGCAGGTAAAAGTTAAGATGCCTGTTTATGTTAAACCTGTTTGAAATTTGAAATTGGAGGGGCCAAAGACTTGCTATTAGGAAGAACTTAATTGCATAAACTAGGAACTCAACAAAACAGACATCACTGTTTCTGCAATCTTAGATGAAGTCTTCAACATTATCTCTCGGTCTTCTTTATACCCTATGACATAATGTGGAAACATCTCTACCCTTTTGGCCAATTGACCAAACTGATTTCACTAAGAGTGTAATTCAAGAATGGCAAGGCTTCCTGATAAGATTGTCTGTTGTGGTGCCTATTTAATTCTGATGAAACAGGTGTTAATTTACATTTAATCAAAATTTGCTTTTTCCAATTTCAACCCACTGAATGCATCTGTTAATTGGCTGAATGTGCAATGTGTCTTTCTGCTATCTAGTATTAGAAACTTGGAAATTAGCTAAACGATGCATTTAAAGTTTTGGAATCTTCTCGTTCAGGACATCAAGGACAACCCATATCATGGCTTATCCAATGCTATTTTGGGAAGCCATGTGTTAGAATGTGGAGCTGGCCATTTGTTATGCTACTATTACTGTCATGGTCCTGAAGTTGTTTTTTGTGCCAGTTGGTACTTATCATGATCTCTGACGAAGTCTAAGACCCAATATATCATTCAGACATTTTTAATTAGCTTTGTTTTTTATTATAAGTTTTTATAAGGTGTCAACCTTATGTCATAGAAGTAAGGTGCATCTGAAAATCCTCAAAAAGAGGTTGTATCGAGGCTAGAAAACCCTCCAATCGATCATCTCGACCTCGAGTTGTATGGATACAAGGAAAAGGGTTTTCAAGTCATAAAAACAATACATCTTGTAACACATTATCTGGACTGTCTATTTTCAAGATTTTCAAGTTTCCATAGATCGGCTTGATCTGCACCACTTTTGGAACTTTGAATTTTGTAATCAGGAGTGGAGATAGATTTATCAGTCATCACAAGGTTTGTGTGTATCTTCCAGCAGGGTTTGGAGGTGCACCTTACTTTGATTGTTTAAGGTGGACAACTTATGTAGACCTCATCCTTGTTTATTTGATGAACTTTCCTTAAGTTATTAGTTTGTCTAAATGCACTGTCGAGCAACTATTTGTTTAAGGATAAGTATCCTATAGTATCCGATTAAAAGGAAATAGAAAAGAACATATGGCATGCTCCCAGAGGATCACATTGTTCTCCTACTCTGTCTGGTGTAAGGTTAAAAAACTCTTCTCGAACTTGGGACTTGTGCCCTGCCGGAGCCAAGTAACTTGGGCAAGTCTGAGTGTACTCGCTCGAGTAGTGTACGGGGCTAAAAAGGGCTAAAAACTAAAGAAATAAAAAATTTGTTAAAAAAAAAGGGATAAAAAGAAAAATATACTATAAGCAACATTGAATGTCGAAATAAGATGGAAAAATATATAAATGATGGATTTGGAAAAAAATGAATTTATAGTTGGAGACATTTCAGAAAAATTGAAAAAAAGTGGAAAAATATAAAAATAGAGCATATGACAAGAAAAACTAATTAATCATCATAAAAAAATCAAAATTATATATAAAATATCTATAAATTTATTTGTTATTTTAATTTCCCTTAGTGTTACGCAAGTATTCGGCTCGGCAAGGGCCCAAGTGCTAGTGGACTCGTCCAAGTTTTTGATCATTGTCGTTGGGTGAAGGACCTAGTTTGTTTTTTGGATTTAAAATTTTGGGATGGTCTCTTTTCAATTTTCAATTTTAGGATGTCTTTTCGGGCAAAGAAAAAGTGCATATTGTGTATGTATATTTTATTTGAGGATGGTCGCTACAATGAGGAAGTTGTATCCCCAAAATTTGGGATCCTAAACATACTCCTAGACAGGGTCTTTATCTGATAGACCATATATCTGGAGGAGCATATGATCGTTTGAGAGAGAGAGAGAGAGAGAGAGAGGGGGG